GAGTTTTTGTTATGGTTTGATTAAGTGTGTATCCTGTAAATAATGGGAGACTAGTATAGATCTATTTCAAGCTATTTAGCTCTCATCAGCTAGCCATGCCCTTACTGGGAATCGAACCGGGGCTGTATTACATATTAGGCAGTTATATTAGCCACTAAGGCACAGGCTTTCCTCCTTTATCAGCTATTTACAAGTCAGCAAATAAGAAATATGTCTGGTACATTTTGCAATTATGTTAGTTTACAACTTTGGTTCAGGGAGGCCTGCAAGCTCACTCCTAGGCCTTATTCCCCACAACTTTCCAATGGATATAAGTCTCTTCTCACAGTTCGTAAGTTGAGGACTACCTGCATTCCACTCAATTTCACTCCGTGGCCGTGACCAAACTCCCTTTTCTGTCCTTCCAGATCGGCGATATTCAGATGAGACCCACCGAACAAATGTCCTAGCCGAGGAGGAAGAGGATGGGACGGCCTTTTTCCAAACAGGGTTTTCTTCAGATGACTTTCTAAGGGCTTCAATGAGGGCGGCCTGACGCGCAGCTCTCCTCAGCTGAGCTGACCTCAGTGGAAACGGACAGGAAAATCTTCTCACCATAATCCCTCCACGTATCTCTTGGTTCTTTCCACCATGATTAATTTGTAAACAACCGTTCCCAGCATACTACATCACCTGGATTCTGATTTCGCGGGGAACGGAACCGTCAGCGGATCCGGACGGCAAACGTTTCACAAGCCGATTCCTTCAGCTTTCCTTTGTGACTTGCAACCCATGTACGGTTTTCTGGAAATGCATTGAAACCGAAACGCTGCCCCGACTTTTTCTTCCTAGGTCCGTGATGGAGAACCTATGGCGCGTGGGCCTCAGGTGGCACGCAGAGTCCTCTCTGCGGGCACGCCAGCCGTCGGCCCAGCCCAGCTCCATCGTGCATGCACACGCGCCCCCCCCACTGGCCAGCTGGTTTTTGGGTCTCTGACGCACATGTGTGGGGTGGGTGGGGCGCATGCGGGGGACACACATGCGCATGTGCGGCGTGCATGCGCACGAGGTGCTCGTGTTGCATTTTGGGGCCCCGCACAGTGCCCCCCTCACATCCTGTTTTGGCTTCCAGGTTGGTGCAGGAGGCCTTCCAGGCCCAAAACAGGGTACAGGGTGGGGGTGGCCCACCTGTGCCTCGTTTTGGCTTCCAGGTTGGTGCAGGAGGACTTCCAGGCCCAAAATGGGGTATGGGGTGGGGCTGGCCCACCTGTGCCCTGTTTTGGCTTCCAGGTTGGTGCAGGAGGCCTTCCAGCCCCAAAATGGGGCACGGGGTGGGGGTGGCCCACCTGTGCCTCGTTTTGGCTTCCAGGTTGGTGCAGGAGGACTTCCAGGCCC